ACCAGAGAAAGAATTGTAGGTGGGTGCCAGAGTAGGACTTAAACAAGGAATATTCCACATATTCCGTGAGAGAGAGGCACAACTGGTGCCTATGCATGTATCCATGGTCACCCTTTTGACCTAAAGTAATTGGGAGGAGTTAAAAGAAGTCGTTCAAAGTGAGGACGAACTCAGCTAGGTGGAGGAAGATGGAGATGATTCAGGCTTTTTTTTTCCCCCGAAGCAGTGGAAAGCCCTGAGACCATCCTGATGGGGGATGGACATCTAAAGGAATTGCATGTCCATGGTAAAGAGGCGGCAGCCAGAGCCCACAAACTGGAAATTCTGAGATTGAATACAAGTATTTCTGCTATAATGCACATTTCATTAATGCAAATTGGCTATAACATGATTGATGAATATTGAACACTGTGGATAATGCAAACTTTCTACTGTATAGTGTAGCGATTTTCTGTAGCAATTTCCCTATAACGTGATTTTCTGGTCAGAAGGAACGAAGTTAACACTCTTACGAGATCAGAAAAGGCCCTACAAAGGACCTAAAAAAAAATAAAAACATCATAACTCTACCAGCGGACAAAGGGCACATGACAGTTTCCCTCCCAGGCACACCAACACACAGGTTAGCCATGGATTTACAACGAAGACTAAAGCACCCAGTCAACAACTCAACCCAGGAGTTCCTCAACTCCCTCAAAGACATGAGAATAGGCAAGGACGAGACCATGGTGTCGTTTGACATTATTGCGCTATTCACATCAACTGACATACCACTGGCAAGAGAAACAGTAGCAACACTATTAAAAGAACGAGATCCGAGTGACACCATCTCCATAGACAACATGCTGAAGTTACTGGACCTATGCCTCATGACCCACATTACCTTTAATGGCCAAATCTATGAACAAATCAACGGGACACCCATGGGGTCACCTATCTCCACACAGAAAGGCCACACACGGATCAAGTCCTGAATTTCAACAGCAACCACCCCAACACCCACAGAGTTGCGTAAAAACACTATTTAAACGAGCAACAACACACTACAGTAACCCAGAACTACACCAAAATGAAGAAGAGTACCTCTACCAAGTATTTAAGGACAATGGATACCTGATTAGCTGGGTCTGATTATGCCTATCACACAAACAACAGGAAGATACAGTACACCCTGACATACACGTCACGTTACCATACATCAAGAACATATCCAAACTGACCACAAGACTCCTACGACCATTGGGCATCAGAGTGGCACACAAACCTCCAACAACCCTACGCCAACTGCTAACTCGAACCAAAGACCCCTCACTCACTATGGATAGAACCAATGTGATATACAATATCCCATGCAAAGACCACGACAAATATTACATTGGACAGACAGAAAGGAAATTGGCCACAAGAATACATGAACACCAACGAGCAACAAAGACACGACCAGTACTCACTCATCTCCATTCACACGGATAAGGAGAGCCACCAGTTTGATTGTGACAACATCAGGATCCTAAGTCAAGCCAAAGAGAGACAAGCACAGGAATTTCTAGGGGCTTGGTTCTCCACCAAGAAGGCCATCAATAAACACGTAGAATTAGACCCTATATATCCACCACTGTGAAGAAAAACCGGAAATGGGGTAATCAACTCCAACGGACTCGAGTTTAAATACCAGCCAGGAAAACAACAGCGTTTCATCAGAGGCTGCACTGATATTGTTACCCAGCAGGGTAATGAAACATCTGCTAACTAATGAACCAGCTCGGCAAGCGAACCAACCACAGCATCCACAACCCGAGCTACAAATCTACTCAAGAACCTTATGTTATAGGAGAAATACCTGTAAAGCATTTTGAAAAGAGTTTTAAATTAGGATTAAGAAACCAAGACAGCAAGGCTTAAGGAGAGTTTTGCAGAGCAGAGGTGTAACAACTGAAGGCTGCAATTGTAAAGAGCTAGAGTTTGGAATGTACAGTTTATCAAACTAAATAGCACATAAAATTAAGGAAGACTGCAAGAGACTATTGAGGTATAGAACAAGATACTTTTAATTCTTGAATACAATGAATTAACCAAAAATATTGGAGAGCTTTTATTGATGAAGAACATTCATTACTAACAAATCAAGTCCAAAACAACGTGCAAAATTTAGGGAGTAATGGCTTGGTGATATCATCACTGGACTAGCAATCCAGAGACCTAGGTAATGCTCTGGAGACCCAGTTCCAAATCCCACTGAGCTCAAATAGATCACAGAATCAAAAATGCTATCCACCCATTTACAAGGCAGAAGTCGAGAATTTGATGCAATTCTCTGTCCCCATCCTGGCCTGGAGGAGTCCAGCTCAAACATTTAAGAAGCTTAACACTAGCCAGGAGTAAGCAGCCCACTTGAGTGGCAACATATCCAAAAAGATTCACTCCCTTCATCACCAATGCACAACCAAGATGGATTGCAAAAATTAACCAAGGCTCATTAGACAGCACCTTGCCAACCCAAGACGACTGTCATGTACAATGCACCAGATATATGGGAATACCACCAATTAAAATTCCTCTCCAAGTCACTCACCGTCCCATCTTGGAAAAAAGCCTTTACAGGAAGCAGGGTGTGAGGATGTATAGTCACTGTAACTGTGGGAACCAACCCTTACGTCAAAATTCTACAACTCTTTCTCTAACAGAATTGTGGGTGCATCTACAACCAATGGACTGCAGCAGTTCTTGGACAGTTAAACAAATATTACCAAACCAACAATATCAATATCCCTGAATAAATGAAAATACATTTTAAATACCAGTAGCACAAATGATTATTGCTTGATTGGCACAACTACATAGATTTATTTCCCTCAATGTCCACACTGATAACTTGTTTAAATATGATCCTTCTAACCATATCTTCAATTCTTGCCTTTAAACAAGTTTAATACTCCTTGCTCAGTTCACCACTATTCACATCTCATTTGAAATTATTTCATAACCATGGTCTTGCTTTAGTTGAAAATGCTTGTACATTTACCTTAGTTTTAGCCATGATGTTGCTAGCTTCTCCCACTTCAGTCAAAGCCTCATTTGTAATTTCTCGGTTCTGCATGGGGACTGTAAGAGGACTGAAGTCTCCTCTATCAAGGTGAGGTAACGTCATGTGAGAGCAGGTACACATTGAATGAGCCAGCTTTCTGCCAGAAATAAGGAATGTCTGCAATCCTGTGAAGAAAATAAACAGGAAAAATTCAAATTTAAAATTTTTGCCACACCGAGAAATATGCGACTGGAGTCGGAACATATTGCAAAACAAAACTGAAATGTGATCATGAACAAACTGCACCACAGAAAGAAATTGTTTTGGATGGGGAAAGCAATGAAGTTTTCAGAACAAAGTCAACAACAATCTCATGGAGGTTTGTAGAATTGTTATCAAAGAAAATAAGTTGTTTTATGCAAGGTGTGTGACATACTAATTAATTTAGTCCTGAGTACTGGATTTGGCAAAGCTGTTAACAGCCGCATTCAAACATTTTTGCATCCATGTGCAGTTAGAACCCATTAGATGAAGAAACCTTTCATTGTCCCAGAAATAAAAGAAAAATGCCAATTTACTAAATATAAATTATACATACCATTCCCCCCATCCCATCAAAAGTACCTAATTTGGCCCTTAGTTTCTTCTCTGGTGGATCTCAGTCTCCCTTCTACATCATCTAGGCATGAAGGAAAAACAAAACAAACAAACAAACAAACTGTTCCCAGACCTGTCGATTATCCCCCAAGCCCACCACTAAAGGAATGATAAGACTGACGTGATACCTGTGGGACGTTTCATTGTCTCCAACAGCAGGGATTACAAACTCAATTAGAAGCAAACATGAGCACTGAACTAATTTTGAAATACAGTTCAGTACATAACCTTTGTTATTATTTCATTTGTTTTAACTTAATAATCTGGTCTGAAGGCCCAGAATAAATGCGTCCATTTTCTGATCTTGAGGTATAGAAATTTCATTATGTTGAACATTCCTAAATCAAATCTCCCACTCCCCAACTCCCTCAAACACCAACATGAATTTCAACGCCTTCAAAAATATCTGATCAGGTTGCTCATATTCAATTGAGCACCTTAAGTTGCAACACAATCGGTCAAGGTATATTTAGATGCAAACTAGGTGGTGGCCTAGTGGTATTATCACTAGACTCCAATCCAGACACCCAGCTAATGTTCTAGGGACCTGGGTTTCAATCCTACCATGGCAGATGGTGGAATTTGAATTCAAAGAAAGTCTAGAATTAACAATCTACTGATCATGAAATCATTGCCAATTGTCAGAAAAACCCATCTGGTTCAGTGATGTCCTTCAGGGGAGGAAATCTGCCATCCTCACCTGGTCTGGCCTACATGTGACTCTAGACCCACAGCAACGTGGTTGACTCGCAACTGCCCTCTCAAATGGCCTAGCAACCCACTCAGTTGTACAAATCGTTACAAAGTCTCAAAGAAATGAAACCAGACGGATCACCTAGCATCGACCTACGCAGTGGAAAAGACAACGGCAGAAACAGCCCTGTCGACCCTGCAAAGTCCTCCTCATTAACATCTGGGGGTTAGTGCCAAAATTGGGAGAGCCGTCTCACAGACTAGTCAAGCAACAGCCTGACAGTCATACTGACAGAATCATACCTTATAAACACTGTCGCAAACACCACCATCACCATCCCTGGATATGTCCTGTCCCAACAGCAGGACAGACCCAGCAGAGGTGGTGGCATAGTGGTATACAGTCAGGAGGGGGTTGCTCTAGGAGTCCTGAACATTGACTCCAGATCCCATGAAGTCTCATGGCTTCAGGTTAAACATGGGCAAGGAAACCTTCCACTGATTACAACATAGCATCCTCCCTCAGCTGATGAATCAGTACTCCTCAATGCTGAGTAACACTTAGAGGAAGCACTGAGGATGGCAAGGGCACAAAATATAGTCTGGGTGGGGGATTTCAACGTCCACCACCAAGAGTAGTTCGGCAGCAGTACTACCGATCGAGCTGGTCAGGTCCTAAAGGACGTAGCTGCTAGACTAGGTCTGCGGCAGATGGTGAGGGAACCAACAAGAGGGAAAGCATACTTGACCTCGTCCTTACTAATCTGCCAACTGCAGTTGCATCTATCCATGACAGTATCGGTAAGAGTGACCATTGCACAGTCATTGTGGAGACGAAGTCTCACCTTCACATTGAGAACAACCTCCATCGTGTTGTGTGGCACTATCACCGTGCTAAAGGGGACAGATTTTGCACGCATCTAGTGACTCAAGACTGGGCATCCACGAGGCACTGTGGGCCATCAACAGCAGAACTGCACTCCAGCACAATTTGTAACCTCGTGGCCCAGTATATCCCCCACTCAACCATTACCATCAAGCCAGGGGATTAACCCTGGTTCAATGAAGAGTGCAGGAGGGTATGCCAGGAGCAGCACCAGTCACATCTGATGATGAGGTATCAAAATGGTGAAGCCATCAAAACAGGACTACTTGCACGCCAAACAGTGAAAGCAGCAAACGATAGACAGAGCTAAGCGATCCCACAATCAACGGATCAGATCTAAGCTCTCCAGTCCTGCTACATCCAGTTGTGAATGGTGGTGGACAATTAAACAACTCACTGAAGGAGCAGGCTCCACAAATGTCCCCATCCTCAATGATGGAAGAGCCCAGCACATCAGTGCAAAAGAAAAGGCTGAAGCATTCGCAGCAATCTTCAGCCAGAAGTGCCAAATGCATGATCCATCTTGGTCTCCTTCAGTGATCCCCAGCATTACAGATGCCAGTCTTCAGCCAACTCGTTTCACTCCACGTGATATCAACAAACGGTTGGAGACACTGGATATGGCAAAGGCTACGGGCCCTGACAACATTCCGGCAATCGTACTGAAGACTTGTACTCCAGAACTTGCTGCTCCCCAGCCAAGCCATTCCAGTACAGTTACAACACTGTTATCTACCCAACAATGTAGAAAATTGCCCAAGTATGTCCTGTACATAAAAAGCAGGACAACTCCAACCCAGCCAATTACCGCCCCTTCAGTCTCCTCTCGATCATCAGTAAAGTGATGGAAGGTGTCATCAACAGTGCTATCAAGCAGCACCTGCTCAGTGACGCCCAGTTTGGGTTCTGCCAGGGTCACTCAGCTGCTGATCTCATTACAGCCTCGGTTCAAACATGGACAAGAGAGCTTAATTCCAGAGGTGACGTGATAGTGACAGCCCTTGACATAAAGGCTGCATTCGACTGAGTGTGGCATCAGGGAGCCCTAGCAAAACTGGAACTAATGGGTATCAGGGGGCAAACTCTTCGGTGGTTAGAGTCATATCTGACACATAGGAAGATGGTCGTGGTTGTTGGTGGTCAATCATCTCAGCTCCAGGACATCTCTGCAGGAGTTCCTCAGGGTAGTGTCCTAGGCCCAACCATCTTCAGCTGCTTCATCAATGACCTTCCCTCCATCATAAAGGTCAGAAGTGGGGATGTTCACTGATGATTGCACAATGTTCAGCACCATTTGTGACTCCTCAGATACTGAAGCAGTCCATTTTCACATGCAACAAGGTCTGGACAATATCCAGGCTTGGACTGACAAGTGGCAAGTGACATTCGCGCCACACAAATGCCAGACTATGACCATTGCCAATAAGAGACAATATAACCATTGCCTTTGACATTCAATGGTGTTACCATGGCTGAATCCCCCACTATCAATGTCCTGGGGGTTACTACTGACCAGAAACTCAAGTGGACTCACCACATTGACACAGTGGCTACAAGAGCAGGCCAGAAGCTAGGACTACTGCAGCGAGTAACTCCCCTCTTGACTCCTCAAAGCCTGTCCACCGTCGAAAAGGCACAAGTCAGGACCATGATGGAATACTCCCCACTTGGCTGGATAAGTGCAGCCCCAACAACACAAGCAGCTTGAAACCATCCAGGACAAAGCAGCCCACTTGATTGGCACTACATCCACAAGCATTCACTCTCTCCACCACTGATGTTCAGTAGCAGCAGTGCGTAATATCTGCAAGATGCACTGCAGATATTCACCAAAGATCCTCAGGCAGCACCTTCCAAACCCACGACCACTTCCATTTAGAAGGACAAGGACATCAGACATATGGGAACACCACCACCACCTTCAAGTTCCCCTCCAAGCCACTCACCATCCTGACTTGGAAATATATCACAGTTCCTTCACTGTCGCTGGGTCATAATCCTGGAATTCCCTCCCTAATAGCATTGTGGGTCAACTCACAGCAGGAGAACTGCGGCGGTTCAAGAAGGCAGCTCACCACCAGCTTTTCAAGGGCAACTAGGGACGGGCAAAAAATGCTGGCCAGCCAGTGACAGCCACATCCCACATCCCCCGAATGAATTGATAAACATATTCATTGCATCAGTGTAATTCCAAAAGCTAACAAACAACTACAGAAATGGTGATAAATTGAAAGAAATAAATCTGAAATAATAGGACATGCAAGGAAGGCACATTGAGCAGAAGCAACAAAGGGTCATTTGATTTGCAGTGATGATTTTGATGTACTGAAATGCTATTGCTCGGAGGATGAATATTATTTGCCTATTACAGATGTCATATTTTACTGCACATTTCAAGCATTTTTTTGCTGATTATCAAAAATCTCAGTGAATCATGGAAGAAGTAATTATAATCTTGACAATTATAACAGCGCTGGAGAAGACAGATTTAAAGGTTGTGGGCAAGATATGTAGCTAGAAAGATGTCAATGAGAGATGATGGACAGGGAGCAGACAATCCATTCAGGTGGGGTGCCTTTCTTTGGTGCACCTTCGTTAATAGCTGTGAAGGTCAAAGGGCAGGTTCTGGCACAAGTGCCACATATGAAGTTGGTCAGGTAATGTTGAATAAGTAATGAAGAGGATTGATGAAGGCAGAGCATTGGATATGATCTATGCACTTCAGTAAGGTGTTTGACAAGATTCTGTAAGTAGGAGACTGAGGGTGGTGATGGAGGGTTGTTTTTCAGACTGGAGGCCTGTGACCAGCAGCGTGCCACAAGGATCAATACTGGGTCCACTGCTTTTTGTCATTTATAGAAATAATTTGGATGTGAACATAGGAGGTGTGGTTAGTAAGTTTGCAGATGACATCAAAATTCGAGGTGCAGCGAACAGCAAAGATGGTTA